AGGTGCCCATGATGGGAGGAATCATGTTGTGAGTCACTTGACACCGTAACATTGGCAGAATTCCTTTCTGCCAGTGCAGTTCTTGTGCCATTTGAATAGAATGATTCCTAATACTGCGTGATAGTTGCCTTTATCTCTTTCCTTTCTTATTTTCTCTGGATGAGTTCTGTTTTGCATTTGTATTCATCTTGAGTCAGGAGCTGGATCGGAATAATTTTTATAGGTTCTCAGAACCAAGAGAGTCAACTATAGTTTTAAAAATATGTAATTAAGTTTATTTTTTTTAAAGTTAGGTGAATAAAGGGCTGGAGAGATAGTTTAGGAGTTAAGGTGCTTGCCTGGCATGCTGCCAATCCTGGTTCAATCCTCAGCACCATGTACGGTCCCTTGAGAACAGAGTCAGGAAAAAAACCCTGAACACAAGTGGGTGTGACCCAATCCCTTCTCTTCCCACAAAAAAGAGTCAAGTGAATGTAAAAGAGACTAGGACATGCATGTTAGAGGATTCAGTACTCTTTTTTTCTCTCTTTCAACATGATTCATGACTTAAAACCTGTGAATCTTATGAAAATTTTTTAAAGTTACATAGCTGTGTAAATTGTCCTAATAAGACAGTGCAAGTAGTTCCCTCTAATAAAAAAAACATAAGTGGAGGATTCATATTTTAGAAAAGAGAAAAGAAATAACCATGAATCTTTATTCTAAACTAACTTTATTGTTGCTATTGGAACCCTTGGATACTTGGGGGGGGCTGTTGGGGGCCACACTTGGTAGTACTAAGGGCTTATTCTTGACTCTGTGCTCAGGGGTCTCAGGTGACCATATGAGGTGCTGGGAATTGAATCCAAGTTTGTGTTGTGTGCAAGGCAAGCGCAGTTGCTCTGTCCCACATCTTGAGTACATTTGAGTGTCTTTCAGCAGGAAGTTCCTCTAAAGACAGATTAAAAAAACAAAGTTAGGGGCTGGAGCGATAGCACAGCTGGTAGGGCGTTTGCCTTGCACGCAGCCAACATGGCCGATACAGGTTTGATTCCCAGCATCCCATATGGTCCCCCGAGCACCGCCAGGAGTGATTCCTGAGTGCATGAGCCAGGAATAACCCCTGAGCATCACCGGGTATGACCCAAAAATCAAAAAAAAAAAAGTTAAAATTTGCTAATCTGAACTTTTTGTTGTCCACAATTTTATGATTTAAGAGTATTAAAAAGGAAGAGTCCAAACTTTATAGCTCAGTATGACTAGGGATTTGTGGATTTAAAAAAGGTGCTTGACATAAAAAGTGGGCATAGAGAATAAACACAATTAAAAAAGCTGAATGATGTTTAAACAGCTTACTTGTTTAGCTAAGCCCTTTCCAATGTACCAAGTGCTTGTTCCCATATAGCTTATGCATCACCATGTTTACTATTTGCAGTAGCCTTGGAAATTAGGGCACACAGCTGTTGCTACCATGATAGGGAGGAGAACTCACTTGCTTAAAGTGGAGGAACAAACCTAGACAGAACTTGCATTTTAAACATTTCTACCTTTCATGACTCTCCAAAAAATTCTGCTGCATCAAATTTAAGCCCTTATAGAAAGAAAGTAAACTCTTAAAAGGGAATCCACCTGCCACAGAGGTGGGGGGGCGGGTGTAGTGGGGATGGTGGGAGAGATAGTGGGAACATTGGTGGTGGAGAATGGGCACTGGTGAAGGGATGGGTACTTGATCATTGCATGACTAAATGTAAGCATGAAAGTTTGTAAGTCTGTAACTGTACCTCATGGTGATTCATTAAAAAATTTAAAAAAATTAGAAAGTAAACTATCAATAACGAGTTTGTGTACTTTTGGAATCCAACTCTATGGACACTAAAAATTCACATAAACCTTTGGAAGGGGAACATTATTTTTAAAATACCGAAAAATGAAGAGCCAGAACCCTGAGAATAAAGGTTAGTGTTCTGTCTTCCTTCAATGAGGGCCTAAGAGCATGTTGGCAAGTAGTCCTACTGGAATGTGGTATGTAGGCTGAGGAGGTTAGTTATAATGAGACTAGGGTGATTGAGAAATGGCATTTGCTTCTGCCATTTAATGGCTGTAAGCCATGAATACATTCTTCTAATTCTTGAAGCTTCTGATTTCTTAAATGTAAGGTAGGTGTTACAGGATACAGCATATAGAGTCATTAACAATTTGGGAGATAGCGTTTACAAAAAGCTCAGCCCAGGGCATGATGAACAAATAAAAAACAGCAGCTGTTTTTGTTTTTATTTTGTTTTTACTAAAATCACTGTGATTTATGCAGCTGTCTGTGTTACAGTAAAGGCCACATAGATTCTGGAGCTGGACAACATGGCATAGAATTTCAGCTCTATCCCTTACCAGCTCTGGATTGAGGGCAGTTTAGTTTATCATTCTCTATTTTGGTTTCCTTATCTGTAAAATTGAGAAAATCATATTGTATTAGAAGGATTAAATGTATACTACACAGAATATGCATAATGTTAAATATGTGTTTGCTATAACAATACATTTAACTTCTATGCACAGAACTCCTTAGCTTGGGTTTAATTTATTTCTTCATTAGACAGAATTTTCAATGCCTATACAATGATTCATTCAGCTGAAAATATAGAATTTTTGAAATGGGAAACAGAGCACTGAGGTTTCCCCCTTATCAAAAATGGAATGGTCCTACAAAAACTTTCATAAGCTGAAATGGCAGATAATGCAGAGGACATTACCGTTAGCATATTCACATTTTTTTGAGTTTCCAGACCTGTTACCAGTAATCTACTAAATCATGTCAAATATTACCGAAAACCTAAACTATTGTAAAAGTAGGACTGATTTGATTCACACCAGTCTATGGTCTGGGGAAGGAGCTTGGCCAGGGTTGCCCTTACTGCTTATGTTGGTGCTGCCTAGACTGGCCTCTGACAATCAAGCAGAGTGTTTCTCTCCCTCTATACCTTTCTTCTGTTGTCAGAGGGGAAGTCCTCTTTATTTATTCATTTATTTAAAGTTTTTTTGGTTAATTTACTTTTTAATTGAATCACTGTGAGATGCACAGTTACAAAGTTGTTCATGATTGGGTTTCAAGCATATGATGCTCCAACACCTTTAGCAGTGTGGGAAAGTCCTTTTTAAATTTCACTGAAAACAGCCATTCATTCAGGTAGGTCTTTCAAAAACTCTGGGGTGCTTGGAACTTTCCAAAAGCAAGGGATATCTGTATTTTTATGATAAAGTTTTGCAGACTAGGGAGTAAATGTGTATGTATTACACACTCTGGATACGGAATAAGGAGAACTTCTCTTTTGCCAAGATGTCAGGCCGTACCTCCATTTGTAGCAGGTGGATTAAGATTGCATTACAGTGTGATCATTCCTTTCTCCTGTGTACACTAGCTATATTTATGCAAGACTAGATGCACTTAATATGCGGCAGATTGCCATGAGTACAGATGTCTCAGAACAGCTGGCTACATGAGCCAGAAGGTTTATGTCCATTTCTGAAGTCCAGAGGACTGAATGTGCACTGGGGGAGTTTATATATTGCCTCAGGGCTGAGCGCAGTTGCCCATGCTCTGTTGCAAGCTCCCTGTTAGCACTCCTCCTGCATGCCACGTATGCATCTGCCCAGGACCTTATCCTCTTGGAACAAAAAAAATGTGACTTATGACTGTAATTTGAATATTGATGTGTAGGAAAGGTCGAAGGGCAAATTGTTTTCTTTCCAAAATGAAAGCACTTTGTGTTATTATTATTGCAAGAGAGTAAATCTAGTTTTGGAAACCTTAGAACAAACATGGAAACATTAAGAAAGCAAAAAGCACATGTACCCACTCCCATCACCCAGAGAAAATGACCATCAACCTTTAGTGATTATCTTTATGGGTGTTTGTATGAAATAGGTATTTGGGTATAAGGGATAAATTTTAGGATACCTCAACAAATATATATGGTTATCTTCTTTACCAGCAAGTAGGTGTCTTTATTATAATATTTTGGATTTTGTTTGGACCACACCTAGTTATACTTAGGCATTACTCCTCACTGTGCTCAGGAATCACTTGTGGTGTGACTCAGGGACAATATGGTGTGCTGGGAATTGAACCTGAGTTGGCTGTGTGCATACTATCCACTGTACCATGTCTCTGGCCCTTTTTAAAAAAATTTTTATTAGTGAAACACCATGAGGTACAGTTGTAGACTTACAAATTTTTGTGCTTGGGTTTCAGTTATACAATGATCGAGTAACCATCCCTCCACCAGTGCCCTTTCTCCACCACCACTGATCCCAGTATCCCTCCCACCCCTTATCCCCCCATATCCCACTCTTCCTCTGTGGCAGGGCATTCCCTTTTGTTTTGGGTGCTCCTTTTGGGTACTGTGGTTTGCAAAAGAAGTATTGAGTGACAATCATGTTCAGTCTATACTCTACTTTCAGCATGCATCTCCCATCTAGGGAGGATCCTCCCAACACCCTTTATTTGGTGCCCCCTTCTCTATCTGAGCTGCCTTTTCCCTTAGCATGTGCAGCTGGCCTCCAAGCCATGGAGTAAACCTCCTGGTACTTATCTCGGCTATTCTTGGGTGTTAGTCTCCTATTTTGTTACTTTATGTTCCCCAGATGAATGCAGTCTTTCTATGTCTGTCCCTCTCTGACTCATTTCGCTTAGCATGATACTTTCCATGTAGTACCACTTGTATGTAAATTTCATGACTTCATCTTTTCTAACAGCTACATAGTACTGCATTGTGTAGATGTACCAAAGTTTCTTTAACCAGTCATCTCTTCTTGGGCATTCAGTTTTTTTCCAGATTCTAGGCCCATCTTTATTATAATTTTTAGCTGATATAAAATTCCACTTTGTAGTTGTACAGTAAATGCATGTCAAACCAGTCCTCTTGATGTTAGACTGTTTCCAGGTTTTGGGAAAATTTGCATTTGATTGACAATTAATTACCCTTGCAGATGGTTCCTGTGGCTCAGATTTTCCTGTGGAGAAGAAGATGACTGGTTCATCGCTCACCATCTCTGAGCAACAGCTGCAGAGGCAGGAGAAACTGAGTAATACCAAAACAGACTTGATTCAGCAGAGCCTTATCTCATCCAAGGACTGGCTTCAGATCCATGGGCTGAAGAACAACAAATTGACCTTGAATCAGATTTTATCACACATTGGATTCCCACATTGTGAAGGTACAGTATTTGCAAAGCAGCACTGGCTAAGAAATCCCACCAACATCTTGCCTTGGAACCCTTGAAACAGTTGCACCAGTTCTCAGGGCTCTGAACTGGCTTTGACCTTACAACCTGACTGGTAAAAACTTATTATGCAAGGTGGTGAGGGAGATCACTCAAGTGGTGGAGCTTTTGCATAGCATGTTTTAGTCCTTGTGGAAACCCTCTTCCCCCAGCTCTTCTGGGTCAAATATAAAAGTATTTGTACACAAATCCTTATTCTACATATGTTTTCTAGATGTGCAGCTGTCATTACACATCTTAAATATTAGTAACACTTTATTTTGTTCTTTTTTTGAAGTAAAGTCATGATCACGACCATCCTGTTGTTCGTCAATTGCCTCGAGCAGGCCCCAGTAACGTCTCCTTTGTCCTAGCCCTGAGATTTTTTAAAAGTGCCATATTCAAGGCTCTTTCAGGATTTGGAGAATGAGACCCATCATTGTTACTGGTATTTGGCATATTGGGTACGCCACGGGGAGTTTGCCAGACTCTGCCCTGTGGGCAGGTTACTTTCGGTAGCTTGCCGGTTTGTCCAAAGTAAGAATAATGAGATGTCGTGCGGCTGCGAAAGCAGCCACGCGCTTCCGGGAGCTGGGTTTTATAGTCTCTGGATCTTGGCCGTTGATGGGATTACACGGCGCCAGGGAGCCAGTTGGTGGGTGTGACCCCTGCCTACTGGAAGGTGGAGGATCTGGGTGGAGGATGCTCAGCCCTGATCCGAGCAGGCTAGGAGATCTCATCCCCAGGACCCGCATGCCTTTGTTCCTCTGCCGGTACCTTCATGTGTGTGTAGAGTGGTCTCAGCATGGTGGTGGCTGGTTCTGGAGGTCTTGGGCTGCCGGAGCCCTGGTCGGGGCGGGGAGGGAAACTCAACCCGCTCCCCTCCAAGGGGCCCTGGCGAGGACAGCCAGGCATGGGGGCAGGAGACTGCGCCGTTCTCTTCTGGGAGCTTGGTTTTATAGTCTCTGAAGACCTCCAGAACCAGCCACCACCCTGCTGAGACCACTCTCCACACGCATGAAGGTACAGGCAGAGGAACAAAGGCATGCGGGTCCTGGGGATGAGATCTCCTAGCCTGCTCGGATCAGGGCTGAGCATCCTCCACCCAGATCCTCCACCTTCCAGTAGGCAGGGTTCACACCCACCAACTGGCCCCTGGGCGCTGTGCAATCCCATCAAAGGCCAAGATCCAGAGGTAAAATAAATAGATGTTATTTGACTCATATCTCAGAGGATGGCATGCTTCTCCCTTGGGAGGGGCAGTGCCCTTTAGAGGTCATTAGTTACAATATTAACTGAGTAGGGTTTCAGGGAGACTATTCCTGTTGTGGCCTCCCTTATGTTAAGGTCCCATTTTTTTTTATTAAATACTGATCTCAACAACTACCAGTCATACTCCCCCCTCCCCCCAGTATGAGATCTGGACATGTGTGAGGGTCTGATTTTCCTTGGATGTATTAAATATGGCTACTAATGCATTATTGGGCTTGTGAGTAGGGGGTAATGTGTGAGATAGTAGTCAACTCTTTCAGATAATTTTGTCTAACATGTCAGTAATAGTCACGCTGAGGAGTACTCCATATAGTGCCAGGGAGTAATATACAGACATAGGAAATTGGGGTAATTTCTGCTGCAGTAATTCTTAATTGGTCAATTAGCTGACTAAACAAATATTCATTTAACAACCATTATTGCTGTTTTTATGATTCTTTTTTTGCTATTTTCTTTTGCATTTTTTTTATGCTCGCAATAAGAAAAGTCTAGGGGGCCCAGAGAGATAGTACAGCAAAAAGGGTGCTTGGTTTGCATTGGACCCAACCTGGGTCCAATCCCCAGAACCTAGCATCTTCTGGAGTGATTTCCTGAGTACAGAGCCAGGAGTAAGCCCTGAGCACTGCCAGGTGTGACCCCAAAACAACTGAACAAAGATAAAAAAGAAAGGTCTTGAGAGTGTGGTGTTTAAAAGCGGATCGGCAATGAACATTATTTCATGCCTCTGAAGTAACTTATACTCATTTATCCTTCCACAGGGGCTGATCAAGCCCTGAACCATCTGAACATCTTTTGAGTGGGAATCAGGGATTCCTATCTGAGGAAACAAACATGAAGTGGGTTTATTTTCTTTTGCAAGTAATTATAATTCAGTCATTAATGTTAGCTAAAGAAGCAATGCCTTATTGATTTGATCATCAAGTATGCATCAATTCTGTCCTGTTAAGACCTCTTTCTTTTTTCTGTTTGCATTTAATGGACACAATCTTAGAAACATTCCAGAATAAAAGCCCAGGCATCATTGATCCTTTGGTGCTTAAAGGTACATTAGCAAATCTGTGACTTGTCCTGATTCAGTGTTGTAAAAGCATGAGCAGAGGCTGGAAGTATCATTTGGATTGTCACGGAACATTTCTGACTTTCTACTTTTATTCATTTCCCCCATTATGGTTGAAGTACCAAGCATGATGAACGAAGGTAATAATCAGAGTTAGCTGCAGGAGTGTTTTTTTTAAAGGCTGTTTTCTATTTTATGGGCTCCTTTCCCCACGTTTTAGGGTGATCTAACTGCATTGGTTAAAAGCAACTAGCAGTTCTTTAGAATATGCCTTTCAGCCAAGTCTAACTTTATTTTGACATTATAGATGGACAAGCTTGATTGTTTGAATCAAAATGGGAACATTACACAAATATTACAGCCCTCACTAATAAGACTGTGATTTTGATGTCAAGTAGTGAATCCCCCCTTTAACAAAGCACTGCATTGTAGCACTGTCCTCCCATTGTTCATCAATTTGCTCAAGCGGGCACCAGTAACGTCTCCATTGTGAGACTTCTTGTTACTGTTTTTGGCATATCGAATACATCACGGGTAGTTTGACAGGCTTTGCCGAGCGGGCAAAATAGTCTCAGTGGCTTGCCAGGCTCTCCGAGAGGGGCAGAGGACTCGAACCCCAGGTCAGTCGCATGCAAGGCAAATGTCCTACCCAATATGCTATCGCTCAGGGACCCCTTCAACAAAATGCTTGTGAATATTTTGTATGGCTTGTCTGGAAACTTATGTAAATCTTATGTTTTAATAAAATATTTTTGTTATTATAAAATAAAATGGCAATGTCTTAGATTGTCTAAGATTTATCCATCAGTGATAATATGGGAGATTAAGAATCTTCTTTCCTTTTTTATTGTCCTTGTTAGGGGCATCATAAGTAATTTAGAAGTATTCTCTCCACCTTTGTGTTGTCATGGTATTTGTATCTGAGTGGTACCATGTCTTCTTTAAATATTTTGCTAGAGCAACAGTGAAACTTATCTGAGCCTGAGTCTGGGTTTTTATTTGTGGGGAAAAAAGAAATTCAGTCTTTGTAATAGACATTGGGATAGTTAAATATTCTGTTTACTCATCTTGATCACTTGATCACTTGACTTCCCGCTAATATTCGATTTGCTCGAGCGGGCGCCAGTAACATCTCCATTTGTCCCTGTCGCGTGTTAGTGTAGCCCAATGGCGTCTGTTCGTTCTAGGAACACGAAGAGCCTCAAACTGATCATTCATGATCTTGATGAAGAAGTCTGACCATCTGGTAGGTGGGCGGCCACGTGGTCTTTTGACATCCAGTGGAATCCAGTTGGTAACAGCTCTAGTCCAGAGGTCATCTCCAAATCTCATTACGTGTCCAGCCCATCTGATTTTTGATGCCTTGGCAAATGAGACAGCGTCCCTGATTCTTGATCGTTGAAGGAGGTTGGAACTCCAGATTCTTTCTCTCATTTGAGTGAAACGTGATATTCCAAGCATAGCTTTTTTGATTCCTCTTTGGGAGACCCGAATAGCGTTCTTATCCTTTTTCGTAAGGTTCAGGTGTCTGAGGCATATGTTAATGCGGGAAGAACAGTGGAATCAAAGAGATGTGCCCGGAGCTGGAGGTTCTTCATCCTCTTAGCTATTTCTTCGATGCTCTTGAAGGCATTCCAAGCTGCTCTCTTTCTCCTGCGCAACTCAGGTGCCAGGTCATTCATCATCTTGACTTCTCGACCTAGGTACACATAACTGTTGCATTCAGAGATGGTCATTCCATTGAGAGTGAATGGAGTGTCAGGAACGAGGCTGTTTCTCATAAACATTGTCTTCGTAAGATTCAGCTGTAGTCCGACCTTTCCACACTCACGGTTGAAGTCAGCCAGCATTTGTGCTGCTTGGCTAATGTTTGGTGTTATTAGAACAATGTCATCAACAAAGCGGAGGTGGTGTAGTTGCCAACCATCTATCTTCACTCCCATTCCTTCCCATTCCAGTTGTTGTATGATGTTCTCAAGGGTAGCACTGAAGAGTTTCAGTGAAATGGTATCACCCTGCTGAACTCCTCTCTTGACAGCAATGGTTACTTCTTTGTAGAATGGTGAGATCCTTGTAGTGAATCCGTAATACAGCTCATGGAGGATCCTGATGTATTGAGTTTGAATGCCCTGATTGGCTAGGGCTTCAATGACCATTTCCGTCTCAACAGAATCAAAAGCCTTCTTCAATGAGCTTGGTTATCGTGTGGATATGGTCGATGGTGCTGAATCCTTTGCAGAACCCGGTTTGCTCACATGGTTGTCTTTCATCTAGTGTTCTGCCAATCCTATTCAGGATGACTCGAGTGAACAGCTTGTAGATCACAGACAATAGGCAGATTGGGCAATAGTTGCCAATGTCGTGGATGTCTCCCTTCTTGTACAGTAGTACAGTCCTGCTGGTTTTCCACTGGGACGGAACCTTGCATTCAGACCAGGTAGCGTGTGAAGAGCCGAGCCAGTGGCTCGACTAGATTTGGAAAGTTGTGTTTGTGTCCATACCTTTCTGATGACTTATCAAATTTTACTAATTTTGTCCACCATTATTTTAAATGCCACTCTTTGCTTTAATGTGTTCTTTGAATGATAGTAATGTAATCTCCCTCATACTTAATTTTGATATAGAT